TCTCTGTCAGTTTTGAGTGGTACTGGTGGGTCTTTTGCAGCTTCCTTCGTGGCTTGTTGATTTATTTTATTTATTTCCGAGGTGTCTGTTGAGCATTTTCTTGCCCACCTCCCCACCAGATAATTAAAAGATATATATACTTGTGTGTTTATTGTTGTTCACGTGGAATTTTTAACTACTTGTTGCTTGTATTTCATTACTGTCTTTGGCACAGTTGATGATGCCGTCTTTTTCCAGAGGTTGGAATGTAAGTGGGGAATCAGTTTCACTGCTCAAAAGCTTTTCAAGTCCTATCTCAAGGACACAATGTACATCGCTGAAATTGGAAACTGTGTCTCTGACCAAATGGCTCTGATGTGTGGGATTCCGCAGGGGTCAATCTTGCGACCCCTGTTGTTGAATTACATGCTTCCATGAGATAGTCCACAATTTCAACTGGGAATGGCAATCAACATCATGAAGCTTGAATCACGAATATTATTTTTCATTAAAATTGTACCGCCGATAAATGGTGAAGTTTAGCCAGTGTCCGTCGGATAGTGGGGAAGGTGGGGGGGGCTAAAACTCAGTTTTGCGCCGCTCGTTTTTTATTTTTTATTTTTTTCTGTATTTCTTTTTTGCAGGGCATCTTGTCAGTTTTTGCGCATGCATTATGGATGAGACATGATTAGAGAAGCCCGATGCACTGCAGTGTGCTTTGAACACACTTCTCTGAATTAAGTGCAACTTTGTATTTACGTCTCCGGCTTCTCCAAACATGCCTTTTTTGGCGGGGGGTGGTTAAGGGAAAAAGTCGAGAGAGAAAAAAAACTATACAACCCTTTATGGTTCGCTTTAATTTCCACTAAACACAAGTAAATGTACAATATTGTATGTTGCAGCGTCTTATTTTATATTTATGTCTCCCGTTTTGATTCCATTCACCAACATTTAAGGGTTTTCCATAAGGAAATTCATGGACGCGATGTCGGCCATCAATAACATGAAGATGACGATGATTTTTTTTTTGCAATTTTTCTGTCAAAGCATGCTTGATAAAGTAGCTTCTTTTCTCGTATTACAGTTTGAAGTACGCAATTGCACAATTTTGGGGGGAAAGAATCTTTTTTTTCTTTCATATTTGATGGGATGTATTTGTATTCCATTTTTTTTCCTCTCGTCCTCTTACGAGCTTCCGCTTGAAAGATATCTCTGAAACGATCAGCGCTTTTATTGACTCAGGTGTTCGCTGTCAGCGGGCTCGTGAGCTACTAAATAATAAACACCAACATCTCAGCTGGGCCTTAAGTCATGACACAAGTTGAATTATTGCCAGTGTGCGTATAAATATTTCAATAATTGCTGTTTGCTACATAATTGATTAGAAATGATCAAAAGCTATTTGAGTGTTACAAGGAAGCTTTTTTTCCCCTTTCCTTTGCACGTTGTTTTTTTTTCTTTTTTAATTCAACCTCCATTTAAAGTCCTCGTCTGTCACTACTTCATCTTCTTCTACTGTAGCTGACTCTTCTTCTGCAGACAAAAGGAGTCTTTCCCAAGATCTGGGAATCCTGCCCTGTAAATATTGATATGGCTGCTACGATATTGTTCCATAATTCATATCATTGCATTCCATCTGGAATTTGTGCACGCCCCCCCTCCCCGCCCTCACTTACAAGTTACAAGTAACACTGCTTGGTTTATTCTCCATTTACAGTGAGCACCTGAACACCTCGTCCACATTTCATATTATTTGTCCAGGTTGCTCACTATTGTTGTCCCACTTGAGGCCTCATAAATTGCGTGTTTGATCATGGCCTAGTCCCCCCCCCCCCCCACATACACAGCTGACACCCCCCCATGCTCATTAGACCTGATTAGTTATACAATGTTCCTGATTACCGACGCCATGTTTTAATTAGCGTCTCAGATGCATAACGACATCCCACAACACCCTCAAAAGCTCACACGGTTGCCTTGTTGGGGGAGGAAATACTGGATGTGGTCATTTACGTTCTGTGTGTGTGGAGGGGTGGGGGCTGTTGACACCATCCTTTCCACTTTTATCTGTGTATGTCAACGAGAAATATTGTAGCAAAACCATTGAACACTTCCATTGTGTGTCGGCTGTGGAGTGTGTGTGTGGTCACGGCTGCCTCAATGAATTTTCACCATTAATGGTGAATTAGCGGAGGTCAGTCCCCCCTCAAGACATTGCCTATCATAATACTGCTACTCATAAAAGAATAACAGATCCGACTTCCACTGCCTCCGTCCTAATCCCTGCTCCGCGCACACACTCGTGGGCGCGCGTGTGTTTGGGAGGAAGGGCGAGGGAGGGGAAGGGGGTTGTTTGCATCTGTGTGTATGTGTGAGTGAGAGAGCGCGAGCGAGAGACTTAGTAACGTAGCGGAGGCCTGTTAGTCTCCGAGGACGCCCCCCCCCCCAACCCGATGCTGCACTCAAGACTCGGAGCGTCATTAAAGTTTCATGGCCGCAGCGCTCGGCCAAGGTCTATTTATGAAAATGTGCTTCCTCGCTTCATGGAAATAAAAAAAAAGCGAGAGAAAGAACGGCAGACAAAAGGGGAAGAAAAAAAAAAAAAAAAAAAAACACACGAGGCGATGGGCGACCGCGAGAGGCGAGCCGGCGTGCGCGGCGAGTGCGAGGCGAGGCGGGCTGACGTTTGTTGAGACGCGACGATTCGTTCTGCCGAATCGTCGGGAATGAAGCAACAAGTCACTTTTTGTCGTCTTTCACTCATAAACGTCATTTTGTTGTATTTCTACTCCCCCCCACCCCCCAAAAAAACAATGATTCATATTTAAGAGCAGACAATGTTTTTTTTTTGGCAAGATACATTTTAACATTTATCATCGCAATAATTGAGGCCATTTTGTTTTGAAAATACGACGCAGCAATTGTTTTTTCTTCCTAATCGATGTTTCAATATGAATAAAACTGAAGCTTGAAAAATGCTTTCCAGGGTTGTCATGATGCAGTTATTCGCTTAGAGTGAGTGGTCAATGGCAACACTGTCACTGCTTTTTTTTCAAAGTGGCCTATAACTTTAGAATACTTCAGGACTGGCCAGATACTTGAAATGCCTTTTAAAGTGGCCAACGGCTATTTGGGGGTTGTTTGCAGTTCACCAAATGCATCCTTTTTTTTTTTTCAGCTGTCAATAACTACATTGTTAGTTTGTCGTACCCATGCCCAAAACGTATCCATGGCCAATAGCTGTCAATGGCAAAAGCTAATACCTGTCCATCAATACACTTTTTAGAGTGGCCCAGAACTGTCACCGATTACTCGAATTTTTACACCACTGACAGTTGCAATTTAATCGCTACTTTTTTTGGCGTGCGCGGCCAATAGTTGTAGACACATCCTCACGTGAATATCAACAGATGAATTTTTATATGCATGCAACAAATTCAAAATGCTCAAAAATATCATACAAGGGATCTGCGTATGACGTAAAACGTGCACGTTTTATTTCAGCTTCTGTCATGTACACAGAGACATTATTGAAGAACACACTTCCACAAATGAAATTCATTCATTGAAATGAAAAACAAAATCGAAATAAATTAAATTTTAAATGAAAATAAAAAGGGGCGGGGCGGGGGGGGCATGTTTAAATAATGAAATAAATAAGTTATGTATCTACAAAGTGCGCTCCGTGTGTGCGTGTGTGTGCGCGAATAAATAATGAGGTGCGGTGGTTGCTATGATCAATAATACAAATCAATGGATGGTCGTACTTGATTGTCAAAGCATCATTGCGGTGACAGCTTTTTACAGTGACACGTCCTTCGACTGTGAAATCCACCATCCCAAAAATCAAACAAGAAAACAAAACCTCGCTTTTCTTTTCGTGAGCGTGCGGGCGTTAAATCACCGTGAACATTTTGTGTGTGTGTGTGTGTGTGTGTGTGTGTGTGTGTGTGTGTGTGTGTGTGTGTGTGTGTGTGTGTGTGTGTTTGCGTATAGTCATGAGGTAGACACACAGCCACGGCCCAGTTGTGTGTTGCTTCTTATTGCGATGCGTTAGTAGCGCTGGGAAATTCCTTGACTCGCACAGAAGACGCCCTCTATCGATTCCCCCAAAAAACAAAGCAAAAACAAAAACAAAAAAAAAACATGCATGTGGCTTCTTTCTCTCTCTCTTTTTCATCATCAAAAATAATCAACAAAAGAAAACAATTCAAGACATCGGTGCAACCTATTCACACAATATGTACATTGATAAATATAAAAAAGGGAGTCATTTGTATTTTTTTTGTACAATAGTAGCCTCATGAATGAAGAAGTCCCAGCGTGGTGCCTTCACGGTGTTTTTTTTTTTTTTTTCTTCAAAATCTTGCAGTCCTTTGTCCAGCTTTTGCTCATTTGGAATCTTCTGAACAACACATTTCATCACCTTAAAAAAAAACATATATATGGGGGAAGAGAGAAAAGTAGCTATTTTAAAATGTACTCGAGTACAGAAGTATTTTTGAAACGTTTTTAGCAAAAGACAAAGAAAATTTGCATCCGCCACAAGTCAATTTTGTAACTGACAACTTTTGAGACATTTTCCTCAATATAGGGTTATGGATGGGGAATATCTTGCTTCTCCGAATCGGTCGCACTCCCTGATTTACGTTACTCCAGTGCAGTACTTGAGTGCGGGGTAACTCGTGACGTCATTTATGAACGGGGCAAATGTAAAAAAGTACAGATAGTGAGGTTCCCCCCCCCCCAAAATGTAAAAGTCAAAGTGCAGACGTTGGGAAATCTACTCAAACAGGACTTTTCGCCACTTCCCATCACGGTAGCGATCATGAAATGTCTCGTTAACAGGCACAAACAGGGCAGGCAGACTGCGATTTGTCTGCGCATAAAAAACGAAACAGAGATTTTTTTTGAATGTAATAAAGTTAAATCAAGTAGCGAGCCTATTTTGCCTGCGGATAAAGAAGTACAGATGGCGGAGTGAAAGTAAAAAGCGGTGATCAAAAAAAATACTGAAGGATCTGCTCAAGTGGAGAAACGAAGTCTTATTTCGTTGCCTCCCACAACGCTCGAGGTGATGAAACGTCTTGTCGAGGCACAAAGAGCCCCTCCGCGATTTGTCTCTCCAAAGTGAAAGGCAAACCAAAAAAAAAAAAAAAAAAAGCGGGACTTTCTTCTCTTCTCTTTTCCTTTTCCTTCTTTCGCTCTCTCCGCGCGTTTGTCGTTTTTTTTTTTTTTTAGTGCGTGGCGGAGAACTTCATGCGCTTCTGCTTCTGCCGCTGGTTGCAGAACCAGACGCGCACGACGTTCTTTTTCAGGTCCAGCTTCTCCGCGATCGCGGCGATTTTCTCGGACGAGGGCCGCGGCTGCACGGCGAAGTAGGCCTCGAGCGAGCGCTTCTCCGGCGCCGCGATGGACGTGCGCTTGCGCTTTTTGTCGCCGCCGCTGAAGATCTCCGGCTTGGCCATCTTCTCTCGCTGCGCCCGCTCCGCCTCCTCCAACCAGGCCTCCAGGATGGGCTTGAGCGCCACCATGTTGTTGTGCGACAGCGTCAGCGACTCGAACCTGCAGATGGTGCTCTGGCTCAGGCAGCCCACGCCGGGGATCTTCAGGTTGGCCAGCGCCGCGCCCACGTCCGCCTGCGTCACTCCCAGCTTGGCCGCCGCCGCCGCCGCCTGCGCCCACCACCACCCCCGCCGCGGCGCCCCCCAGGGAGCCGTGCGAGGCCAGGCCGTGCGCGTGCATGTTCATGGACTGCGGGTGGTGCGGATGGTGATGGTGGTGGTGGTGGTGCTGCATGTGGTTGATGGCGCTCATGTGCGACGCCGTGGAGCACACGTCCGAGCCGGCCATGGCGCCCAGGGAGATGCCGGGCGTCAGGTGCTCCAGCAGGTCGCCCTCCAGGCCCTGCGCCGGCTGGTGGTGGTGCGCCGCCGGGTGGTGGTGCGAGGTGAGCACGGACGGGTGGTGCAGGTGCGCCGACGACGACGTGGGCGTGCACGTCATGCTGGTCATGGTGGTCATGGTGTGGTAGGTGGCGTCCGGCTTGAACGGGTGGCTCTTTTGGCTCACGATGTCCACGGCGGCCAGCGCCTCCGCCCGCTGCAGGAGCGTCTCGTCGAAGCCGGCGAAGATGTTGCCCTGCAGCTGCCGCCACAAGCGCGTTTAGTGACAGAAAAAAAAAAAAAAAAGAATCATCAAAATCCGCAGTTGGTCGATTTCATTCAAAGGCTTATTCGGGAAGTGGCTCGGAATTGACGCGCAAATGTCGTTTTGCCTTTTTTTTTTCACCAGATATGCCCCAATCCGGGTTCAGGTTAATTCGATAGATACTTTATTCATCCCCTGAGGGGAATTCGATCATCGCAGCAGACAAATTTACACGTAAACATCCCAGGACGACCAACAAAGTCAACATCGTTAGAGCAATGAAAACAAAATGTCTCAAGAAGAAGGAAAATAAACAGAAAATTAAGGTGGCACGATCAATCCAGACAAACTCTCATGTGGAAAGTGAACATGACATGCCCATGAATGGTCTGTTTGCCTTGATTGATTTCTCACAGTAACCGGAAGTGCCTGGAAATTTGGTGACATGCAGCCCATTCGTTGTCATCTCCAATTATTCAATTATTTTATCATTTATAATTATTTATAGAATATATACACTTCCGACATATATAAAGTGACCAATCAAGTGTGGTGACGTGCCATCATTACACTCATTTTGCAATTAAAGCAATTTAACAGACTCCATACATGGTATATGTATTTACATGCCTGAAAACTAACACAAATTTAGGAGTCCATTTTAATGGCATGCCCATATATAGTCATTGGAGTGCCACAGTGACCGGAAGTATCTGGAAACTAAAAGGCAAATTAAAGAGTCAACTTTAATGACGTTCTTCCACTTTTGCTGTAAAATGTATACAGTTATTGGAAGTCTCGCCGCTAATTGGCAAATTTAAACTTCACATTTAATCACATGTCCTAATATGGTCATTTGGCTGTTATCTGAAGTTACAGAGGACAGAAATTGCCTGTGATCTGACGGCCAAATTACTGTTTCAACTTTAATAACTCGAGAAAAGAACTCAAATTTAATGACATGCACGTATTTATGGCCAGTTTGCTCTTATTTTATCGGCAATCCATATCCAAAATATTTTTAATGTCACCGTTTCCGGAAGTGCATACACACACACGCACACACATGCAGTTTTTTGCAGTCAATTTATATGCGAAATTCGTTTTTACAAAACTAAACCCAAAACGAGTACATATTACTAAAACCATATTGTATTTTCTGATCATTAGAAAACGCTTCGTCAAAGTGATTTCGAAAAAATGGTACCTCAAATGTATCGGTGAAAATGTCGGACTTATTTTCATTGTATGTAAAAATTGAATCAGTCACAAACTGATCGAATGTGCACCAAACCGAAAGTCAGATTTTTTTTTTAATGATGTTATAGGCGACAATTACGAAAAGCTCACACTTGACAGTTGTCAACTGGAAACAGTTTCCTCCGACACGAACTTTCCTCGTGTGCGTGGCATGTTGTGCAATGTGTGCCAGCAGCGTGGACTGACATTCATTTAAAATTAATATTTACAACGCTGCACCCCCCCACCCACACGCACACACACATACACTTCCTTTTGAATAATTTGTGCCTATACAATGAAACGAGACCGGCGTGATCTTGAATACGAATGACACTCGAATATAAAAAATGTATTTAATTAGTAATATTAAATTACATTCCTGTGATGACACGCACTTTTTTTTTTTTTTTTTTTTTGCATAATTGAAGAAGCGAAACGCACTCGCGCCTTAGAAATATGCATCATTTTTTTTTTGGTGTGTTTTGGCTTGTTTAATTAAAGCAGAATTATCCATGCGTTGGTCTTTTATTTTATTTTTTTTCCGATGCAGCGTTGGACTCACCGACGGCGTGGGCAAGCAGGCCCGGCGGATGGCTTCGGAACTGGAGTGCAGCGGCGTGTACTTGGGTTCGTGCAGGATGGGGTGCATGCTGAACGGCTGCTTGCTGTTCATCGACATCATGATGACGCAGGCGAGGGCCAGCGAGGCAGCGATCCGTCGTCCTCTTTGCACAAGTATGAAAAAAAAAAAAACACTTCACAAAGTTGCAAAATGTATTAAAAAGGGAGGAAAAGCGGTGGAAAATCCTCCAGTCCTCCCATGTGCAGTACTTGAAGGATGAAGACGAAGCTGCGCCGCCCCCCCTCCCAGACGCCTTTATAGGAAGAGCCTGGCAAGCAAACCACGCCCCCAAAATGCATCTCAGCCAATCAGAGTGAGCCAGTCGGAGGCATCCACGCCCATTCGCGTGCCTCTTTCGTCGGTTTTACTCAGGACAGACCGAGCCAGGCCGGGTGGCCCGCTGCAAAAAAAAAAGACAAGAAAAGAATCTCCTTTTCAACTAAAAAAAAAAAAGCCCAAATTAAATCCATTGAAAAATAATTACAACGCGCTCCCGAAGAGATCGTCGACCGGGATTAAAAAAATGGCTTCTACAAACGTGTTAAAATTACGGTTAAATATAGATTATAAATAGGAAAAAAAATTAACATTACATAGCGGGGGAACAATTTGTTATGGCCTCTCGACGAACTGTATTAATTTAGCTTGCTCGAGCCTTGGAAGAGTAGATATTAACTCAGCACTTATGCAGGTCTGATTTATCTAAGGAAACATGGTCGGATATTTCTTTTTTCAACACTGCAGTTGTATTCAATAAATAAATACCTAAATAAATATTCAGCAAAATTGTACAGAAACGATGTAGTTGTAGGCTTGAATCCACTGATAACAGTCGATTAATAACCAGATCCCACGATTAATAAACAATGTAACCACACACACACACACACACACGCACACACACACACAGACACAGTTATTTATTCAGATCGGGATTATTAATTGATGTGAGGCGCGCAGGAATTTCCTCCTGCTTGCCTATGTGAACCACATTCACTTTCATGGCAATTAATGCATTAATTAATCATGCTTCGTTTACTTTGCGGGTGTCGTCGTGGAAGGGAGGGGAAGACAAAAAAAAAATCCTAAATCAAACACACAGTCGCACACACACTTCCATACACACACACCCACACACTCACACGCTAAAGATTACATAGACAAGTGCCTCACTCTTCATGCTAACTTTCATACGCAATCCATAAAATAATCCTGCTCATTTATCACTGACTGATGCTTATTTGATACATGTAATATTTGTTTCATCATTTGTTCGATTAATTTTTCATGTTTGTAAATATATATCAATCAAAATTTAGATATACATGTAATATTTGTTTCATCATTTGTTCGATTATTTTTTTCATGTTTGTAAATATATATCAATCATAATTTAGATCGTTCCCTTAACCTGCCATGCATGTTTTTGGAACGTGGGAGTAAACCGGAGGACCGGGAGAAAACCCACACAAGAAGGCCAGAATCGAACCCTGCATCTCTGCACTCTGAGGCAGACGTGCCAACCAGTCACCCAACATGCCGCCCCAACAGTTGCTTACAATGTCTATGCATCTCTGTTCAAACGCCTGGTTTTTGTGACATTAGATATCTAAATAAGCTTTTGTTTTTTTTTTTGTTTGTTTGTTTTTTTTTTTAGGAAAAGTCTTTTAAAAACGATGGTGTGGAAATGTCAGGAAAAGCCTACTAGAACACCTGAACTTCATTTGGGGTTCATAAGATGCATTGAAAATAGTGGCAGGTGTGCTGAGTCCCATTTAATTACAGTTGGAACGCCATTGGTTAATTCTGAACACAGCCACATGTACTGCGGGTATTGCTTTATAAGGGGGTGTGCACACAATTGCAAACACATTTAAAGAACATATCGATCAATATATCTGTTGCTCTTTTTATCCCCATGTCGCAAATAGCTGGCAATCGAACAGGGCTGTGTAGAATTTTCATATCCGCCGCATGTTATGTTACAGAATATGTACTAATATGTTAATTAGTACACAATAAGTAGACAAATGTAATCTGAGTAACGGGAAATGTGATGTGCGTTCAAAAATCTGGAAAATAAGATGGAGATTCCAGCCAGTTGACTTTTTACTGTGGGGTGCAAATCACATTTATTTTATGACTGTGAATTTTCAAGCGTGCAATGGATTAAAATGTGACGCATGAATGTTTTTGACATGATTCCACCATTTCTTTCTTTTAAACAACAGTTCCGATTGGCAGGCCCCCACCGCCGGCTCGACGGAGATTTGCAATCATGATGATCATCATCATAATAATGATGACATTCTTTTGTTGTTGGTAACAGGTTTGTAAGCAGCGGCCCGCAAAAAGGAGCAGCGCGGCGCGGCGTAACCCGAGCGAGGTGCCCATTGTCCCCGATGTGTGCGGCCCCTCTCCAGAGGGTCCCCGGGACCCGCTCATCAAATATGCATCAGCCGCCGTCCTCTGGGACTGGAGCAGGCAGGCAAGCAGGCAGGCAAGCGGGCAGGCGGGACGCTCCTGCGGGAAGGCGACACCGGCGTGGCGTCCAGCTGTGTGTGGCGAGGCTGAGAGCAAGCGAGGTCAGTCGGTGGGTGCGACTGCGCGAGGTCAGGGAGGGCCGCTGACCTCCTTTCACTCGACTTTATTGATGCATTTTTGGGTGCACATCCGGATTCAGGTCCAGTCATGCTTTTTGTGAGGCCTTGGCGGAAGTCCGCGTCAAATTTGATCAAACCGGCCTCTTGACGTGTAAAACGGACGCATGAAACAAAAATACGCATGTTTTTGTGCCTTTCGCAAAGATCGCTACAAATAGCTACATAATCTACTTTTGTTCACCTGTATTTTTGTGTGTAAATGACATTTGTGTAAATTCCTGATTTGTATGCATCTGATGTCACACCAGTTTGTGCTTGCGGCTTATTTAGGCGAGTACGCTCGCTAAAACTATTGATGTGATTGTGGCGCTAAAGGCAGTTACAAACAATTGGCGTCAAATGGCGCAAGTTCACCGCATGCTAACGTGTTTGCGCTTTGTAAGGCGCCACATATGAGAAAATAACGTGTGCGGCCGTACGTGCTGTATGGGCTCCTCGGGTGTCCGGCCAAGCTTTTTAGCAAAAAAACGCTGGCCTTTCTGCCGCATTTAGCAAATGGAAGCTGCGCCGCGCGAGCTGCGCACACCGCCATCCAGCGCTGTCTTTTTCCCAGTTTCTCCTTTTCCTGCTTCCACCTTGAATTATTCATGCCTGGTAAAATCTGACGTTGTAAACTTCGCGACAGTTCACCCAACTGGCCTTTGAGACAGGGGGTGTGGGGGGGCGCAGGAGGGGCACATAGCGGGGGGGCGACGCGGGGCCTCGCCAAAGGGTAGGCGGTGTCCAACCACACACTTTTAATGTAATTGCCTGTAGGGGTCCTTGTGAATATTTCATTTTCTGCCAGTACAAATTAAAGACGCCAGCACTTCTCTCAGGAGGAGAGATCCTCACTCTTTGCACTTTACCTGCAAATTTGTATAACCCGGACGGGAAACAGAGACCGTGTTCCTTCCGCTTGAAGTGATGACAAGCCCGCACTCGTCCGTATGTCATCGCTGTGGCGCGTCACACTCGACAAGACGACCAGCCTGACCTCGATTGCTTGTCTTAATGGGTGTAGTGGTTAATGTAGCAGTCGTTGTCTTAGTTGTCTTTGTGATGTTTCGGGAGGTACGTTGATAACGTACTGCTGGTGTTGGTAGGAGTACTTGTCTCAGTCGAAGTTTTTAATGTAGTAGTTGTTATCGTTAAAAGTTGTCATCAGTGAGGTTGTTATTGCAGTCGGAGTTGTAACTGTCATTGTAGGAGAAGTGGATATACTTGTTCATGTGGTAAGTGTTAGCATAGTTGTAGCTCTTGATGAAGAACGAGTTGTGGTTGTTTATGTAGCTGGAGTCGTATCAGTAGTTGACGTAGTCAATGTAGTGTGAATTGTCATAGTCGTAGCACTTGCCGTAGTTGTGGTTGTTTCTGTATTTAAAGTTTTTGTAGTTGATGTAGGTGGGAGCTGTCATAGTTGACTTTTTATTTTTTTGTGCAGCGGTTACGGCGGATGCTGTTGACATTGTAAGAGCAGCGACGACAAAAGGCTTGCGAGGCTGACAGAGGAGAAAAGACAGAAGACATATTTTGGATCAATAGATTAACTGAGTGCTCATGTATTATGCAACGTAGCCCCGCAGCAACTGCACGTAGAGTTGGCCAAGATTGGCGTGTAAAAGCCTTACCGAGGCCCGTCCTATTTCCTTGCCGTTAGCATTGAGCTAACCTGCCCGCACGCTGACTAACTCGTTCCGATAAATCGACTCCACGCTGTACGCTCAGAAACACGACATTGCATCACTCCACCTCGATGTGCCGTGTGAATGTTATTATTAAGTAGTCGGACTTGGTGTAGTTGTTAGTGGTGTAGGACCTGTCATAGTTTTAGCTGCTGATGTAGGAGAGGTTGTAGTTGTTAACGGAGTAGCTGTCATTGGTGTGGTTGTTAATTTATCCTTAGTTGCAATAGTAGTAGTCATACTTCAAATGTGGCTCATGTAGGAATTGTAGTTGATAATGTAGTAAGAGTTGCAATAGTTGTAATTGTTAATGTAGTAGTTGATAGTGTAGGCGGAGTTGTAGTTGGCCATGTATAAGGAAATTAAGTCGTTCATGTCGTGGGTGCTGTTGCAAATGGAGTAGGAGGTTTTAGTAGTTGTTCATGTCGTCAGCGTTTTTGTAGTTGTAGTTGTTAATGTAGTGGGAGTCGTTGGAGTTGCAAATGCGGTTAGAGTTGTAGTTATTAATGTCGTAGGCAATGTAACAAGTGTACATAGAATCAGAGTTTTTGTAGTTGTTAATGTAGTGGTTGCCATAGTTGTATTTTTCATACAGCAGAATTTGTCAAAGTTGTAGTTGTTAACATAGTACAAGTAGCCATGCTTGCTAAGGGAGTAGGAGTTGTCGTGGTTGTTAATGGAGTAAAAGTTGTAGTTGTTATGTATAATACGGTAGGAGGTGTAGTATTTGGAAGTGGAGAGCAAGTTTTCGTACCCATTAATATAGTTGTTGCTGTTTTTAATATTTGTCGAAGTAGTTGTCATCATTGTAGTTGTTAATGTGGCCGCAGTTGTCTTTGCTGAAGTTGTTAATCAAATGGGAATTCTCATAGATAGTCGAAATTGTCCGTCTATTAGTTGGTGCCAATGTTGTAGTTGTTCATAGAGATGGTGTCATTTCAGCAGCTGCCGTGAGAACGTTGGCAGCCCCGCTCCCCGATGGCATCCCCGTTTTCCCAGTCCCCGTTTGTCAGCACGTCGAAGTGGTCGGCTCCGCCGAGGGCCCGGCATCAAACGACAACCCAAGGAAAGCCACCCTGGCTCATTAGCATCCAAACAAAACCCCC